AAAAAAAAAAAAAAAAAAACATTCAAATTCACCCCAGGCAGCGAAACGATTGCCCGATACTAGCATCCACCAAAAACAGAGAACCAAATTCAATTTTGACCTAATACAGCTCCGAAAAACATCAAACCTAAATAAACTCCATTGATGCCGATCTAGTTAAGAATCTACCTTCAGGAAGTGCAAAATTACGCAAAACAAGCAATTGGGCACATCGAATTTTCACTTAGAACTCGATGGAGGAGTGAACCCACAAAAGAATCGAATCGAATTGTGACAAGGAAGGATGAGAAAATCCGTCTAGAACCACATGAGGGTGGTCTAAACTCCGCCACCGGCGAGGAATGAGAGGTGAACGGTGACGAGTGCGCTTTGTCTTCATTTTGTCCTTTTTGGCTCTCTGTCCTTTTTGTCATTTTGACTTCGTCACCCCATTTTTTCTGATTTGTTTCATGCGTAATTCTTAAACAAAATAGATATATTAAATTTTTAATTTTTAATTTTAAACTCACATTAAATAATATGATGATAAATTGTGTAAATTGTTCTAATTAAATACTTTATTTTAATGGAGAATTTGGGGGAAATGGAGAAGGGAGGAGAGGAAATTTGAATCCCTAATGAATTTGGGGAAACCTAAAGGGCAAAAGGATTTGAGTTTTTTTTTACAGGTGAAACGAGTCTTAGTTGGAATTTTACCCGCGTGGAGTGTTTTTTTCTATCTAATGTCTTTTATCCACGTCATCGTCCACATTATCATTTTAACCATGTCAGCAAAAGAAATGGGGCTCACAAATGAAAACCGTATGAGACTGTTAGTCATGTCAGAATGGATTTTCCTAAGAAAATGGATTTCCACTTAATTCTTAGGAAAATCAATAAAGGATATATTTTTTATTAGAAACTTTCTAAAAGTGATAACTTTATTTTTATGAAATCTCTTGTAATATTCATAAAATATCAATAAGTTATGCATGTAATATTCATAAAGTATCAATAAGCTATGCTTCTCAAATTTTAATAAGAATTAGTTACTCTCTTGTTAGATTAACTCTTTCATCCTTATTGAAACGCAGCTACCACTATTGACAACCACTTAAACTTCAAAAATGAAATGAAAATTTGAAAATTAAGTGTAAAAAATATAAAAATTAGAAGTCATCTCTCATCCAAATTATAATATGTAATAAGCCATTTAAAATATAATTTGCACAAAAATCAAGGCCCAAGGATATAATTATTGATGAAAAAAGACATACACACACCTCATAATCCTCATAATTCTCTAAGTAAAACATAGTTGTATATTTTTAACATTGGAAATTTAATTAAACTTGTTTATTGTTTTTAGTCTTAATTAAGTGACTTGAGAAAGTAAAAGGATAA